GTATGTGCAGATGTGGCACAGGTCTATGCATCTCCTAGTCATACTCCTACTCGTACTCCTACTCCTACTCCCACTCCTACTCCTACTCCTCATACCTGTGTCCCTGAAATCTCTTGGCTGCCTGCATGCGTCGCGTCCGGCTGCATCGACGGTTTCAGGTTCGATGTTTAAAGTTTCAAGTCTTCCAGTGAAACAAACGGTGTGCGGTCCCAATCTTCTCGGGCACACTGGTGCAAAAAAGCTGTACTACTCCAAGCAACTCAACCAAAAACTATTCTGATGGTCTTCAGGGCCGGAAATCACAAAGCCAACTGTGCTGCACTAAGTCCTTTTCCGACTAGACTAACCAAGACACTGAATTGTCCCAATGGTTTCGGGGGAAGAAAGCCAAAGCACTGTACTGTCCTGACCTTTTTGTGGGAGGAGGCCAAAACTCTGCTCTGCCTCAACCTTCTCCAGCCCGGTGAGGCAACATGTTGCGCAGTCCCAAACGTTTGAGGTTTCCGGCTCTGGAGGCCCTCCAAGTATTTCTTTGGAGTTTTGGGACCAGCATTCTGGCACTCCAGACCCGAAAACAAAAACTCAAGCAGTAGTGCATTTGGGAGCCTCCGAGTGTAGAAAAAACTGTACTGTCCCATTCGTTTTTGCACAGAGGTATCATTGACCTACAAAGTGCTGTACTGTCCCTAAGTTTGGCGCTTTGGAGCGCAGTATAGCATAATGGCTTCTGGTCGTGCTTCGTGAGAAATGGAAGCGAGGATGCTGCGTCAGGCGCTTCATGCTGGCGCCACGTGCCTCATCCTCTTAACTGTCAACACTTTTGGGGGCGGTGAACACCAAACCAAGCTTCAAAACCGAAGTCTAAAAGTGACGACAGTCACGAGGATGTCGCACCCCACATGCCTCATCCTTCTTTGGACATAGCTCAAAAGTGACGACAGTTACGAGGATGGCGCATCTGAATCGCACCTGAAGGGCCTCATCCTCGTAGCGTTCAGCGCTTTAAGACATGCGAAGCCCAAAACGATGCAAAAACATCCCAAAACATGCCAAAACGCTGGGTCTGCGCAACTACAGCCGATGCACGCCACCCGCAAATGCTTTCGGACACTTTCGGACTGTCGCATGCTTTGCGAGTGCCTGCGAATGCTTTCTACTACTCTCGAACTTCGAACACAACATGCACGATTTCGGGCAAACTCCTGGACTCCTGGAACCTCAGATCCTAAGACGGGAACCCCCGCTATTCCCGGAAAACCTCGTCCCAGATGTGCGTATAACAAGCCTAAACGTAGGGGCATGACAACAAATGCTATCTGGGCACGCCTTACTTGTAAACCTCCAAGGCTCTGCTCGTCTGGACGAAGTATGCAAGCTGGTATTGTGCTCAGAGCTAAAACAGAACCTTCAGGCAGGACACAGCATGCAAAAGGTCACCACGGAAACAAAACAACTACAGGAACCGAAACAAAGCACGGCCAGCAGCACAGGAATCATTGAAAACTGCACGGTCGCAGACATTCAAGCCCATGCCTTCTTTTGCGGTCCTCCACAGCGACTTCTCGCTCGCCCGGAACAGCTTTTCTGATAAAAGTGCACAGTGAAGCTGCAAATTTGCCGTGTCCTTTCTCCTTGAACGGCTGCTGTCGTCTGATTTGCCTTTTTTCTGCCTGGCTCTTGCAGAAACTGGCTGCGACCGGCGCGGTACACAAGAGTGGCCACTTGCCAGCATGCAACTGCAGGCGGCCTCTTCTCTTTCTCCTTTGCCCTTGCTTTTTCCTTGCTTAGCAAAGCCAAAGTGAGGCTGCACATGTTCACATCAAGGTACCACAAGGTGAGATGGTGCTTTTGTCAACGCCAATGACTGAATACTCATTGTGCGGCAGTTTAACGAGCAGGAGACGATCATGGGATTTCCGAGTTCATTGCGTGTTCATGTCGTTTGTGCACTCTACAGTAAAAAAAACAAACTTTGTCAATCCCCCAGCAAATTCCCCGACGACAGACCAGCCACACAAACACACACAAAGCAAGAAGCCAGGAAAGCCAATACACGAAAACCTCAAAATACGCGAATAACTTCCTTATTTCAAATTGCTTTGAACGGTCCACGGTAAACTTTTCTAGAACAGTTATGTGAAATTTTAACGTGTTCTATCTCTCATGAACGATTCTATCGCGACCTCAACTAAATGAAAGCACTAAATCCCCTCCTTCGCTTGGTTCTCTCTTTCACTCACCAGCCGATCAAACGAAGGAACTGACGCGTCCTTAGCGCGAACGAAGGAAAAGATGCAAAGAAATGTGCCAGAATTAGCTTGGTTGGCATTATGTGGACGAAAAAGCGAAAACTCGCAACGACTCCAGAAAGCCCACCCTCAGATTGCCCTGAGACCTCGTCCAAGAACCCACAGAAGCCAAGCGCCTGCGTTTGAGAAACAGCGCTACACGTCACACAAGCAGCACTCCTTTCTTCGGTCTTGCGAAGAGCTGGAGCTGCTACTCCGTTTCCTGCAGGAGCAGGTGTCCAGGTGGCGCAAGGGTCATGAGACCAGTTGCAACAAGTGCTGCAGCGTCGCCTCTTCTCTTTGCCCTCGGCCTGGCACAAGATGGCACAAGTACACACAGAGAGAAAGATGCATGTGGCTTTCAAACGAGAAGTCCTTCTGTTTCTCCTTCTCCCTATCCTGGCGACATTCGTACGACTGCATACTATAACTTCAACCACAATGCCACCCACACACACACACACACACACACACACACACACACACACACACACACACACACACACACACACACACACACACACACACACACACACACACACACCTGCTCGCGTGCGCGCGCAGGCACGCGAGCATGGCTCACTTTGGTGAAAAAAGCTGAGATCACTCTCCCGTATTCTCTCGTGCCCCGTCCTTAGACCTGGATTTCTCTTTCCGGCGGTCTTTTGACCTGGACCGAGAGCGATCTTTCTTCTTAAGCCTTTCCTTGGATCTCGATCTCGACTTGTCCTTCCGCCTGCGAGCAAGAAAGCGCACACAACGACCAGCCAAGGCAACATTTTTGAAGAAGGTCAGCTTCCATGAAGAAGCCCTCATCTTCTACAAAGATTTAAAAGCTACCTCGATCTCGATCGTGACTTGTCTTTCTGTTTGCTGCTGTCCTTCTGCTTCTCCTCGTGAACCGGCGCAGCGTTGCAGCAGTAGTACAAAGCAGTACTACAGTAAATGTGCAGTGCAGTGTTTGGTCATGCCCTCCGGGACATGTCGAGAGAAGCGTTTTCGAGCTAAACTTAAACCGTCTCTTATCCACTGCTGATGAACAGTCCTTCACCTTGGCCTTGTTGTCTTTCTCCTTGTCGGAATCCTTGTTGGACTCCTTTCCTTTGTGTTTCTCTTTGTCTTTCTTTTCCTTCGGCTTGTCCGCCTCCTTAACCTTCTCGCTCTCCTTACTTTTTGTCTTGGAGTCAGCTTTGTCTCCTTTCTTTTCTTTGCTCTTCTCCTTATCCTGCTCCTTTTTCGACTCGTGCTCCTTTTCTTTCACCTGGTCTTTGCTCTTGTCTTTGTCTGCCTGCTTCTGTTTATCATCCTTCTCCTTCTCTTTGTCTTTTTGTTTGGATTTGTCCTTCCTTTTATCAGCATCTTTGTCTTCCAGCTTCTTGGCAGCCTCCGCCTCCCCCGCCTTCTCCTTTGCTTCTGCGCCGGAGTCCTCGACCGAGCCAAATGCGAAAGACGCCGTCAGGTCCAAAAACTTCCCAACGCAGGCAGCAAGAGCCCAGGAAATAAGCAAAACTCCCGTTCCCTAAAACTCGTTGAAGAGATATTGTGGAGCCTCACAATCGGCCAAGGTCTGTCCTTCAGCTTCTCCGCCTGTCCTTCAACTTCAGCTGCTGCCTTAACCTGACCTTCTGGTTGGGTCCTTGACAGTTGCGGCCGAATTGCACCAAAGTTGACAACGCAGTGATTGTTGAATAGCGCTTCGAAGCAATAGCCACTTTGCCGCTTGAATGCGGATGATTGTGGATGAATGCAGATGAATGCAGATGAATGTGGTTATGCGGTAGAGCGGCACTTCTTGCTCTGCTGACTCTGCTTCTTTGTGCTTTGCTCTTTCGGCCTCGTGGCTTTGCAAATTTGCAAACACCTGGCTTCCTGATGCTTCCTACTGGCTACCTTAGCCTGCCATTCTAGAATGATGCTGTAGCATGAGGGCGCACGTCACACGAGAAGACTCCGCCTTTTCCGCTGCTTTCTTTTCCTTCTCTTTGGCCTTCAGGATCGCTTCCTGGGCCTGGGGGGGGGTTGTTCAGTGGGATAGGAGAACGAAAGAGAACAGCGTGAAAGCCTTTCCAAAGAGGTGACAAAAGGATTGTAAAAAGGTGTGAGACACGTCCCTCCCTGGGCTCCAGGCCAAGCGCTCTTCTCGCGCCTTGAAGGCAGCAGCGATCTCGGCTTGTCGAGCCGCCTCTTAAGAGAGAGAACATTAAGAAAGAGAACACTCTTTAAGAGAACACGAAAGAGAAAGCATTCTCTTGGCGCTCTAGGCTCTGTAGCAACATGCTTCTGTCAGTCTGCGGACAAACTTGGTGCGCAGCCTCATCTTTTTGTTTCGATGCTGCCTTGGCAGCATTCAATTTGCAACCTCGCCTGGAAAGTCCTGGAAACATATCCTATGGTCTGTAGAAGCAACGCAGACCATGGAAGCCAAGCTTTCCACGTTGCCCGCTCCTATGATCCATTTCCAGCCCATGCCTGGCCCAGTAAGGCTTGCAGAACTAGCAAACTGGTGGATCCCTGCCCTGCCACAGTGTGCGTTTACCGGTGATTTCTGCCTTCGTGATTCTTGGGCGCCGTCTTGCCGCCCTCGAACTGCAGCAATGCAGCCGTCTCACCTGTCACCATGCGATGAAATCAGGGTCAAGGGACTAAAGGAGGGACCCTTATGAGGGACCTGAGGGGTTATATAGGGATTAAATAGGGCAACTTAGGTATATAGGGGCTATATAAGGTATATATGTGGTCAAAAGCAAGCCAGCAGCGTGGCGCAAGCGTGGCGGCTAACTTTTACCTCAAAGGGCGCCCTCGAGAGACGTAGCGACAGTCCGGCACACTGCTGTCAGGGTGCTGCTTTAACACCCGTCCTCGGCTCTCGAGCGCGCTTTTCGCGCATGCCGCGAGGCCTGGATCATCAGCTTCTGGTTCTTGGCTGCTTCAGTCGGCTCTAACTGACAAGTGCCACTATACAATGCATCCAACAGTGGAGCCCGATCGCAACCGACCTTGGTGAGAACGTCTGCAAGCATGCAGCTGGTATCAACCCACTTGGCGAAAGCAGCGGAATCGTCCTGGTAGTCATTCTCGCCAATGAGTTCCTTCACTTGGGCTAGCAAAATGCGAACCCTCTTGTCTTGTGGCTGTCCAGCATCTTTGTTCAGAGTCTGTTCTAGACTCCTGCTATCTGTGAAGCACAGGACCTTCTTCTTGACATACTCCTGGTCCAGTTCCACAATGGGGACGTCAGGGTGGACCAGCTCCAGCAGCAAGAAACGGAGGTACTCTGCGGCCTCCACTCCAGCCAGGAAGCCATTGTCCCTGAAGAACCACTTGTTCTCGATGGTATCCTTGAGCATTTTGACGGCTTTGTTGAGCTCAACCACATCTCCAATCGTGGCCTTGCCCATTGATTGAGCAGCCACACTCACGTTGACCATCAGGTCTGGTCTGGACTGGCGGGTAACCCAGCCCATCTGACCAATCAGGCCTCGAGACAATGTCTTCTCTGCATCAGTCAAGGGTGATCCAGGTGAGCGGCGTCTATTCTTGTCCAGGACCATGTAGTCGATGCCCTCGATAGCGTCGATCTGGTCCAGCTCAATCTCGCCGTTCTTTTGGGTGATGTTCTTTCCACAGAATCGGAACTCGCCCCTCTTAATCTTTAGGTGAAGCTCAGTCTCCATCTCCTTCAGCGTGAGCTCGTACTTCTCGCCATCTCCAGCGCTGTAGAGGTCGTCGACGTGGGAGATGAGTATCCCCATGAGGTCGGGCCCTTCAGCGAGGATAAAGAGAGCTGGCTCGATCTTGGACATGCGCCAGTTGTGCTTTTTCAGCGTGGCGTAGAGCTTCTTCCACCAAGCACGCCCAGCATCTTTTGTTCCATAAATGGATCCCTTTGCTCGAAGGAGGTCATGAGGCGAGATGCCTGGAGGTGGAGGTCGCGGTGGTCGAAGTACAAGCAAGCGGCTTATCCCTTGAGACTGAAGGTAAGCTGTGGAAGCGTCAGAGGCCGTAACCAGCCATCCCTTCATTACTGCCACGGAGCAAACGAGGTTGAAGGCAAGGAGTGAGGCGGTCGGTGAATCACTCCTGATGTCGTTCCCTTCTTCTTGATGTCCTTGCACAACGAGTCTCGACTTGGCCTCGAAGGGAAATTCTCTGAGAATCTGCTCCTTGGACTTCCCGGTCTTCTTGGAAACGTGCAGCGCAAGGAGACGAGGTTTAGAGTTCTTGTCTGTGTGAACCCACCTCGTGCCAATGATCTTCACGTCCTTGGGGAGGTCCTCGATTTGTTGTGCTGTTAGCTTTTCCACGGCGTTGAACTTCTCCCATCGCCATGGACTTGATGAACTCCTGACGATCTTCTTGGGATAGATCCTTCAATCTCACTTCTGACCTGGTGGCCTTGCCCGTGAGGAAGGCATCGGCCGGGGAGACGAAGAAGCAATCATCACTTTCGTCCTCGTCGACGTCGGCCTCGTACTCTTCTTCGCCGTTGCTGTTCATGCGCTTCAGCCGTGCCATGCGCACGGTCTCGGTCAGGGGAGGGATCCCGTAGAGCACTGCTTCCGACATGTAAGGAGTTTCAGGTTCTACGGCGCGACCCCGTTCTCTCACAGGCGCATAACCATCCAGAAGATCCAAGTCATGAAAAATGCTTGTAGGGACCGACGTCATTGGAGTCAAACTTGACGGGGCTGTCAGCGAAGAAGATGCTGCAGAGGTAGGAGGCGCAGCGGCTTGGAGCTGCGGTGTAGGCTGCGGCTCCGGCTCAGATGTTGACATGTTGCTCGTGCCCCTTGGCAAAGTGACCTCTGGAGGAGGTAGAGGAGGATCGTCGCGTTCCATCGGTCGTGGAGCCTCATCCAGCAAACCTCCATCGTCATTTTCTTCAGGGATAGGTGGGAGCAACTCGGGCATCACCGGGATACCCGTCTGGGGCACCACAGGAGAGACCTGCTGAGGTATCCCAGGACGAATGCCTCCACGCGGCTCTCTTCCTGGAGCTCACGTGCTTGCTGCGCTGGAAGAAGAGGTTGAGCCCGTAGGTCTGCGAAACCTCTCGCGCCCCTGGAATAGGGCGGCATCAAGATCTCCTGCGGAATGGAGCGCGCAGCAAGCAGTTCATCTTCGCTGGCGAACCTTAGCTGCTCTCCAGCGACAAGCACAACCGTGGCCCCATACCTAAGCCAGTAGGAATGAGGTTGACCTCCTTCAGTTGGAGATCTCCATCTGCGAGGCGACGGGGATTCCGAAGCTCCACGCCGATGACTCTCGCCGGTCCATGCCAGCGATATGTTGTCTGAGCACCGGGCGGCGCTTGTGCCCGATAGAAGTAAACATAGCTTCCCACTGGGTATGGGCCACGAGTCGGCGTACTTTGTCTCAGGAGCGCTCGTCGAACACGACCGTCTGTGTCCAATCGGACTTGGGCCACCCTGGCTGCCTCTCTCATAGACAGAGAATCCAGGATTCTCGGTGGCTTCCAAAACTTCCAGACGTTCAGCTTCTTCGTCCACCAAGATGCTTCCAGGTAGTCGGATCTCTGATTTCCCCAGGACCCACTGATTTGGAGAATATCCTGATGTTCTGGGAAACGAATTTCGTGTCTGAGTCACGATGGCCGTGGCAATGATGACATCCTGGAGGCCGTCGATCTGAGTCTCGTGAACAACTCTTTCGAAGAGATCTTTCCAAAGGCCTCCTGCCTTCTCCACGCGCCCATTCTTCCAAGGTGCCTCCAATGGCATCACTTCCTGCTCGACGCCAAAAGTCTTGAGGTAGTCAGCGAACTGGGCTATGAACTCCTTCCCTCTGTCAACCTGGAGACTTCCAGGCAAGCCTGCCCAGTTTGACCAGGCAGTGAGGAAGTGCCGTAGGACTGCCCTTGAGGCAGGCGGGCCTTGAGTAGAGCCCATGCACGACACAACTTGGAATCCAGTGGCTTCATCGACGATGTTCAGGAAGGTGAAAGGGAGCGAATGTCCTTTGCGTACATGCAGTCGATGAGCAGGTGCCTGTTGAACTCGTAGTGCCCGGGGAGCCTGACGGGCTTTGGCCGGCGGTTTCTGCGGCTTTGTCCGCAACTGTCGCAGGCAAGAAAGTCAACTCCACGAATGGCTTCGGGCGTGGCCCTCTGCCTCCTCAAGATCCTTTGCAACGTAGTGTTTGTGGGGTGGCCGAAGTTCACACGCAGATCTCGAAGGCATTTTCTGAGCTCAGGTCGCAGCTGGAGCCACTTCCTGCGTCGATCTTGTTCGCTCAGATTCAGGACTGGTTCTAGCTGTTCAGCCATGATTGCTCTGTGACTCGCATCGTCTCCTGGGCTTACGACTCTCAAGTTGCGGCCTCGGGATTCTTCTCCAACAAGCTCAGCCAACGTTCTATCGGCTTCGTCGTCAGGAGGAACTGGCTCAAAGTGGTCTGGGCGAAGGTAAACGGGAGGCGCGTTGTACTGTTCGGTGAGCACGCTTGCCCGTCCTGGCCTCCTGCGACGTTGAGAAGCTTGTTGTCGTTCCAGAGGATAGGCCTCCTGGGCCTCTTTCACAGCACACGCTTCGACCTCAGCTTGTTGAACGACGGCGTCCAGCACCTTCTGGTTGAGTTCAGGAGGCCATTCTGCAGCTTGACAAGTCCGACTGCCGAAAGTATCGCGAGCCACAAGAGGTTGGTGAAGATGACCTCCAGGACATTGACAGTCGGCAAAGATGGACTCAGCGCGTCTCCTTGTCAAAGTAGCCAAGCTGACAGCCGTTCACGTGAATGGCAAGGAGATCGCCGCGGTCGATGAGGGAAGCCACTTCCTTGAGCTCGGGTTGCTGGAGCCACTGGGACTCCCTCGGCTGCTCCACAAGGACATGTCTTTTCTGGTTGATCCGGTCGACAACGGTCTTGGCGATGAATTGAAGCACCTTGCGCCCGTCCTCACGTCCTTCCACTGTAGGGACACGAGGTTGCGCGATCACCGTGAGGTAGGGGTCCTCGACCTTCAAGTCATACTGTGCCATGCGACGACCGGCTGCAGTGGATGCATCCCAAGCGGAGGAGGAAGCGTCAAGCGGACATCCTGCGCACATGCCTGCCAACGCGCAAAGGACTGTGAGCGCCATTTGTCCTGCAAACAACTGCTTGACCCACATCTTGCCATAGGGGGGCCTGTGGCTGATCCTCGCCCTTCCTTCCAAGACAAGCCGCTGCTGAAAGTCATAGCCGTCGAGGGACGTAGACATGGCCAACAATTTCTTCGACTTTCGGCTGCTCACCTTGCGGAAGGTATGCTCTTGTCGGGCAATCTCAGTCTCAAAGAAGAGCACGTCCTCGTTCACGTCGCGTCACGGCCTTCTGGAACTCGTCCGCCTGCATATTCCCAGGCAGCAACTTCGTCTCTTAACACTTCCTGTCGGAGGCGGTAGTCGTCGAAGTCGTCGGGGTTCCACCCTTCCGGGACATCGGGGTAGTCGGTGGCATAGTCGAGCTTGGCCTGGCACTCGATGAAGTCCTTCACAGACCATCCGGCAGGGGTCTGGCGGCGCCACCACTTGAAGTCTTCCTCAGACATGTTCAGCTTCTCTGTAGACCTCGTTCTTGGGGAGCTGTTCTGGGTCAAAGTCAAGAATGTTGACAGCCAGATGCCCCTTTTCTGTTCGAAGAAGTGGGAGGTTCTGAACACCAAGCTCGCTGAAAGAGACTGTACCCTGGCCAATATCGATCACCGTGCCGAGCTCCTCCATGAAAGGTCGGGACAGAAGAAGTGGGAGTGCGCCGGGGGCTTCGGAAGAGCACATCTCCCCATGAACTTTGGCAAGGCCGATGGGGTATATCTTGGCGATCCTGCTCTGGGTCTGGCCTCCAACTCCCTTGAAAGTCTGCTTCTTTGGAATCGCGTGGTGGGAAAGGCCGCGCTTGCCCAGCTCAGCCTCGAATCGCTCTGCCCAAACCTCTCCATGCATTGTCTTGGTGCAGCCAGAGTCCAAGATGGCGAGGCCAGGCGGGTCGGTTTCAGAGGTCACGTAGGTCTCGGGAACGACTTCGTCGGCGAGCGGCGTGTTCGTGCATCTTTCTCCAAGCTGGAAGTCGCCATCATGACGTCGCAGTCCTGCTCAGTCACAATGTCCAGGCGATTCGGGTCCATACTGACCGGCACTCGGATTTGTCTTGAGGTCACCATATCACCTGGGCGACGCACGCGCTTCTGTCCATCGGCACTGCTGCCGCTCATCCGGTCGACTGCGCCCTTCACCAGCTTCAAACGACCGTACAGGTAGAAGCTGAAACGGTACGCCGTCGGCTGCATTGGGTTGTTGGCCAAGGCGTAGTTGAGGATCGAGGAGCAAAAGATGGTCCCGTCAGCAGACGAAGCCACGTCTGCGAAAGTACGCCCGCAGAAAGGCGTGTCGGCTCCAAGCATGTCGTTGTCGGAGGGCAGGGGTTGGAGGATGTCTTGGTCTTCCTGGTCCAACTCAGGGAATGCCGGCAGGCAAGTGTCCGAGGCGATGCAGACTCCATACACCCATGCCCGTTGCTTGATGGACTCCGGTCTCACAATCTTCGCCTTGGGGGGCTTCATGTGCTGGTCAAGCTCGACGTTAAGGACGCTCCAGTCGTCTTGCGCCATGGAAGACGATGCAGCGGCGGAGGGCGGTCGGAGGAAAGGAACTGGCAGCGGAGAAGGGTAACCACCGCGAAGGTCATGTTGGCGTTGAAGTTCAACCTCGGCCTCCTTCTCCTTTTCTGCACGAGCTTGGTCTCGGGCACGAGACACAGACTGGCACACCTCCCAAGACCGGGACTTGGAACCCCACTTCGTCGTGAGCGCCACGAGGACAAAGTACTTCCACAGCTGCACGGGTTCCTTGCGTTGCGCCGAGATGACGGCACGACCACAAACATCGTCCTTGCAATGGACGCCTCTCATGTGACCATTGGCTGATCTGAAAAACTTCCTCTCGTCACCTCCATTGTAGGAGCTGTGCCCGCACAGGTCGGTGTCGCGAAGAACCATGAAGGACTCGCTGTCAGCGCTGGCCAGCTCGAAACCATTGTTGAACATGCCAAAGGAAAACGTTGGGGAGTTGATGTTCGGGAGGTCGTCGGAGGCCGCAAAGAGGACCGTGGCACCGGCAGCATCAACGTCCGCAAAGCCATCGACGCTCGCAAGGTCGGACTGAACGAAGAAGGACGAGGGGGACCCCTTCTTCTTCGGCATCGCTCGCTTCTTTGGGCCAGAACCCTTGCTAGGCTTCTTGTTTGGGCACTCGGGATCACCCTGCCAGTGACCTCTCTGTCCGCAGCTTGTGCAGGGAGTGATGGTCTTCAAGAAGCGAACCGCGCTCTTGCGGCTCTCCTTGGCCTTGTCACTGCTCATCTCACCCTTGGCTTTGAAGTTGAAGCTCTGGCCAGGCACCGGCCGACTTGAGTGGTCCTTCTTCTTCTGCATGACAGTCGCGAGGGCTTCCGTGAACTCTTGGTCCTCAGCCAGGTCGCCGTCAGCGAGGAGTGAGTCGATGAGGGTGTCTTCCGGGCACTCGTCGACCTCATAGGCTTCGTCGCCCTCAAGCTCTTCCTCATCTTCATCGACGTCGTCGTTCTCGCCATCGGCGACGGCGAGCACATAGCTGCGACTCTTCCCTTTCCCTTTTGGGGGACGAGGCCTAAACTTGGCTGACGGCGCTGGACCTTGGCTTCCAGCAGCTCTGCCACAACCAAGGTAGTCCTTTCGGAAGACAGGTTTCCCCGAACAGGTTGGGTATTGGATCCGAAGTGCCTTGCTGATCTTGTCCAGGTTGTACTCGTTTCCAGTGGAGCTGAGGACACTAAGCTGTTCTCGGCGATCAAGGCCACCGAAGGTCAGCAACATCATCGCGCGAAGGTGTTCGGGGACCTTGCCTCCACTGAGCACTTCTTCCAGTCGCTTAAAGTCTTGTTCCCGACGGACAATGTATTGCTGCATGCTCTCGTTCTGACCACGCCAAATTCCCGGAGAATAGAACGCCGTGAAGAACAGCTCGTTGGTTTTCACCGGGGCTTCCTGGGCGATGTTGTCCTTCAGGGTCTGCAGCAGCAACTTCATCCCCTTGTCGTTGGGAACTCCATCAGTGCCCTTCGTGATCAGGGAGCTGTGATCCAGCTTCCGCACGGCCTCGTACGCGCATTGGTCAATCCAGAGCGGAGGTGAATCGGAGTGGCAGCTTGGGTGCTATCATTTCCAGCTCGGCCAAAGAACAGATCCCAAGCCCTTTCCGCGTACTCCTCGTAGAGCTCCGGCTCGCCGGCGTACTGGGGGACACCGTAGCGGTCAACGTCCAGCTTCAGGTAGGACATGACGTTGGAGAAAACAGGCCGGTAACCGAGGTGGCGCGGGCCAAAAGCGGAGAAAAGGATGCGACCGTGGTAGCGGCGGCAGAAAGTGCAGGGCTCAAGCGCTGCAGCACGGCGGCGGCAGGGCTCCGCTCACCATCAAAAGCAAGCCAACAGCGTGGCGCAAGCGTGGCGGCTAACTTTTACCTCAAAGGGCGCCCTCGAGAGACGGTGCTGCTTTAACATGTGGTTATATAGGGGAATAAGATTAAGGGTCCCTTCTGGGGGCCCCTCTCTAAGACCCCACATCAGGGGCAGTGCAGCAGACTTGACGGCTGTCAGATTGAAAGGTGCTTTCCCGGTATCGCCGCAAGGCGGTCAAGCTCAGTCCATTACACATCAGAAAGTCGCAAGCCGGCTTCATCGAATTCTCAGTCTCGCACCTATGACTCGCAGCCGCTGTCCTTTTGAGCAGCCATACTTGGCACCTCAGGCTATCTCAGGCCAATGATAGTTGTCCACGTGAGAACCTCGTGTCGCATGCTGCCATGGCACGCAACATCTCGATGACGCCGCCGATGCCTTTGACCTCTCATTGGCGCAGGAAAGACAAGGTGAAAGCGGACGATACAAATCAAGCAAACCATCTCTTGCCAGCCTCTCCGGTCAATGGACCCTCCAGCTCTTCCGTGACGAAACTATCCGGGTCTGTTTCCGGCGGAGGTGCAAAGCGAGAGTTCTCTGACCGAACTTCCTGCAGGCATCAGAGTCGGCTTACAGCTATAGAACGGTGCAGGGCGTATCGAGAGCTGGGATGAGTGCATCACATCGCTGTGTGGTTTGCCCCGTGCCTGTGGGGCTGCATGGATGAAAGCGTGCGCAGCCTCCGCACTGAAGACGGGCATCGGCATCGTTTCCGCAGCGGGCTGTGCAGGTGCGGTCAGGGTGCAGTGCTGAAAGGCGTAGTGGGACTCTGTGGAGCTTGCTGGGCATTCTGACACATGTTTCACAAGAACTCGACAAGAAGGCGTGCTTGGCGCTCCAACTCTCCCTCGGTTGGGCCTTTGGGGGCTCGACCTTCTTGCCACTGGCAATGAGCTCGAACTCAATCTGCGCGTATTGTCCACCAAAACTGAATCGTGTTCTACGCGGGAAGCCGCATCTCCTTGCCTCCATTTCTCGAGCCCTTTTCGCCCGTGTCTGCAGCACGGCAACAGGATCTCGGCAGCCAGATAGTGTCCTCACGCATTTTGAAAAACTTACAACATGTACCGGCAAAGACTCAACTTTCACTGAACTGGGTCCCTGCAGAGATGACCCGCTTCTGATCATGTGGGTTCATCAGCTTCAGGATCTCTTCTGACTGCAACAGGTCACAGCACAGGACTTACACAGAACAGCAACAGAGCACAGCACAACAGTGCAACTCGCAGAGAAGTTGAGCTGTTTTCCTCAGTTTTAAGCCCTATGAAAAACGTTGCTGATGTTCAAAGTGTGTTCAGACAGACACAACAAGCAGAGAACTGCTCAACCGCAAATTCGCCGTTGCTGGCCACGCTTGGCCAATGTATTGCCATTTACTGAGTGTACTGCCATACCTCCCTTTTATCCTCCATTTGCACTGCAATGCCTCTGGGGTCATCCATCTCCGGTTGGCGGCGATGAAAGCCTGCACAACACCACAACACCAACAGGCAAACTGGCACAGTGCATCAAAGGGCCATCGCCAGCTTCCGCGCTGAATCCTTCGAGGCGGCATCTCGCCTCAACCTCATCCTTGCTGGCTGGCCTGGACAGGCGTCCAGACGAGGCCTCGTGAAACAGTGCACATACTGGTGAAGTAGTAGACCCAGGAGAAAGTCCACTTCAAACTGCGGGGTTCGATTGAGTGGCCAAGGTCTAGCTAGCATTTGTGGCTTCCTGCTCCTGATACTGCTTCTGCTCTTGTCTGTTGAAATCCTGGAGCTCGATAGTGGTCAACAATACCCTGTGACAATAACAATCGAACACCTGCCTTTGCCCTGAAAGTCGCCTGCCCCAGACTAGACCAAGCGAAAGGCTGACGCCCTGCACAGCCAACTCCAACATCGCATGCCCCCCCACCCACCCCAACGGATTCGGATAATTCAGAACAAGAGAGCGCCATGTCCAATGCATGGGGGGATTCAAAGGAATACCCTCAATCTCTCAATACGTCTCGTGATTTACTACTGCGTGACTGCAGCGGAACCTAGTCCTTCGGGCCCCTGACTTCATTCCGGAAAACTGGAACTTTCTCAGGCTCGAACTGTGGCATTCTCAGCCAGATGGGCGCCCTGAACATCAGTGCAGCCAAGATTGAAGATTCCTGGATGTTTGTTGTGGTCGCGGTGCAAGTTCACATGCTCCGTACGGGTGACTTTGTGTCGCAACTGCCAGCACCCTGCTTGCGGTGCCGTGGCTCTTGGCTTGGGATGCTCTTAACCAGAGATGCAGGCATGCGGTCAAGCTGCAGACATCTTCACACCGTGACCCTTCGCAACATCTGAGGCTTCAGCTGACAGAATTGCCTCCTTTTCTCTTGCCTCAAGCCACTGTTCAGAGTTTTGCGCCGAAGCTGCACATCAAAAACCACTCAGACACACTGACTGCTATCACAATAAACCATTCACACACGGCCTGCCGAACCCGAGACCTCATGACCCCCACAGCATCACGACAGCTCACCTCAGGCAACCACAACAGGTCGCCAAAGTGAGGCAAATGACAATCTCCAAGCTTGCAGTCAGTTGTTGTTATAATGTTGCTCACATTTGCTCACGCCCCTTGGGCAACGACTAGCGTGCCGCCGTTGATTACTCGTCTCTGGTCCTGGGCACATGAGCGTGAAGCAGAAGGTTGAATTTCAGAGCTCTACACGACAGCCCAACGGTTGCAGACCTCGGGCGGCATATTCCGAAGCTCCAGAGCCGCGCTGTCTTCAATCCATCTATCTGGCAGACTGCTTGACATCTGCTAGACATCTGTTCTACTCCTGTACCCCGCGACCAAACTTGCCCGGACAGACTGTTTGCAGAGATGAAGTTCTCGACCTGGGGACATCGGTCTTTCGTCAACACTGCTGCATTGCTGCGGACTGCAGGCTTGGGGATTCTGTTACGGGCTTCCACAGTGGGCGAGTACATCATTCAACGTGGCCCTTTTTTATGGCGGTCGGATTTATCTCTTTAAGCTTTAGGGCTTTCAGAATTGCCGCAAGTGCTGGCTTGCTTTGTCGGAAATCCAGGCAACTTAGAGCTAGAAAGTTTGGGACTTGCAATGACACTTTCTTGCGGCGCGGTGCCACAAATCTGCGACCGGATACTACACTTTCAAGGTTTTGATGCTATATATAATATATCAATCGCATGAGCCGCGTCAAGCACACAGCTGCATGTCACTGACATTGCCAGTAAGATGCCCACCTCATCTTTGGTGGCCGGCTCGACTTTCACAAGCCTGGTGAGCGGCTTCTCTCATTATGAGAACAAAAGACAGAAGAGATATGCTTACAAAGCTTACGAAGAAAGAGATAAGATAGCGCAGCAGGGCTTCAAAGAGAAAAGCGGCACCTCGGCGTTGGCGTGGAGCGCTCTGGGCTTGACGGCGCCGGCGCTCCCGCCGGCGCCGGCACCGGCGCCGGCGCCGGCGCCGCCGCCGCTTCCATGGCTCTCGCCAAACACGGCACCAAAAAGTCAGAGAGGCTTTCAAGTAGGATCTATTGTGGGATCTTGTGGGATCTCGTGGGGTCTTGCGGGATCTTGCCGGGGTTGGGGCTTGAAGGTGAGGACTTGGACGAAAGTGCAAGCACTCAAGGGCTCAGGGGGTGTGCTCTGGGTGTGCAGCATGACCTCTTATATTTGGCACGCAGCTTCGGACCAGGTGATTTTCCGTGACAGTTTTGGCTCCTGTTTGGGATCGATACAGTTTTGGGGGCCGCGCGTTTCCTGCACTAAAGTGCCCATAACGGGGAAGCCCACCCCCACGCGCCAACAGGTCTTCAACATCTTCACGAGCCGCTGAATGCCGGACCAAGGCAAGGCGTTGAAGTGTTCGTCTTGCCGCACCGCTCACGGCACGGCGCCGACAACGCATGGGTCCAGCCGCCCTTGCATGCGAGGGCCTTTCCGCATCGAAAAGTGCTGGCGGCAGCTAGAAGAGGGAGGAAGATTCGATCACTGTGAATGCAAGCCATGAACAGGCAACCAATCAACCATCTCGTCGTGCTCGTCGTGCTCGTGTCATTGTGGACCGACAGGCTGACACTTGTGCGTGGTGTAGTTGCACGATTCCGTGGGGTGGCTCCTGTGCGCTTGGAGCTGCAAGGCTGATGCTGCCCGTTGCACCACTGCTGTGCAAGCCAAGGGTGAACGGAAACATCACATCATAGCGCACCTTCGTTTTACGAATACAAGCCGCCTCTGAAGATTCCATGTGAATACAGCGTCCGGTAGACTCAAGCCCTGTCTACAAGCTGCACCAATTACAGGGTGACACATGGATCTTCAAGTCAATTAACGGATCCGCAGATGTTCAGCTGGTCGAGTTTTCTTACGTGCTGCTGACTTCTTGAGGCCAGCATGGGCACCTGCGGTTTTGTGCCACCATAGAAGGCGTCACATGAGAATATACGGACATTAGCAAGGTGAAAATCACAATGGCCCGAACAGCCTGAAAATCGGTCCTCCTGAGCCCTGGCTTGTCCATCGCAGGCTACCACTTACCGGTCACAAAGACCTTAAAGGCATGCTCACAGCCTAGCATGTGGAAGCTAAGCTGTCATACTCAACTCCAGTGGAGAGTGTTCTAAGATGTTCTAAGCGCTGCCTTGAGGCGGTACCAAAGACATGTTGCACACAAACCACTAACATCCACAAGCCGTAGCTGACCCGAAGCAGCACCCAAGCACAACAACTTGGGCAGCTTGGGTTCACCTTTGAGCAACGGGACGTGGCACTTACGAGCAAGTCGCGCTCAAGGTTTGGCCGTCTGCGCGCAGGCACTCAGTGCCTCATGGAGCCCAGCCAGATCCAGCGTTTGCAATCCGACAGCAAGCAATTCTGAATAAGGCGATCACGAGAAAGGCAGCGGCTGCGTCATCCTAGCCAGGTATTTCATTCAAAATTCGAAAAAAACAACACAGATGTTGTTCGTTGCTGCAAAGGCACAGTGTGGATTGCGTCGGGATAGTGCCGCATGCTGCCAAAGGCTCGACCTGTGATTCCAGGTGCAGCTTCTATGACCACCGCGCGTGATCCTCGAATTTTGTTCTGCCAACTTCGTAAACCATGTGGCTGTCTCTGCAGGCTTGGTCGGGATGTTGCAGCACTTTCATGCTCTCTCAGGTTGTTGTGTTAAATTTAGTTAGTAGACATTGAGGGTAACTATGATGGAAGTTCTGTCTGTCAGATTCTACCAACCAAGACCCAAACGTAATGAATAGAATCAGACCGGGCCAAGCTGAAAACCGTTCGCTTCCCGTTTCCGACTGTGGAAGTTCGCTGCAGAAGCAGGGAAGCCTGCCAAACGCTCATCAAGCATTTCAAAAAGAACGTCTTCAAACACGTTGTACAAGCAGGTCGTGATTTCCAAGAAGAAACAAAATGAAACCACGGGAAATAAAGAATCTGGCTTGTCAATTCAAATCGAGTGTCTGTCTGGGTCATTGGGGTTTTCAGCCTTTGGTATTTTCTGCGAGAACTCGGAATATCAAGCTGAAGTGATGAAGGCGCATCCAGCTGCGAGTGCTTCTCCAATTGAGTTTCGACAAAGGACTGTGTCTTCGCCAGCCAAGAAAAAACCAAAATAGCCCCAGTTTAACCTACTACACAAGAAGAAAACGTGACAAACAAAATCCAACACAAAATGTCCTTGTTTCCGTGCGAGTCCACGCGGGACACAAGTGAAAACATGCGTAACATCTTCTCTGTAATGAAGAATTCAAAAATGTTGCAGAAAAAACCTTGGAGCGAGGGACGTGAAGTCTTACGCACGGCACAGCTAACACGGCTGCTCGTTTCTGAAGGTTATTGACCATCTCGCCTGATTGCAAAGCTTTATTCGCTTAAGGTTGGCATTGTCACCAGATTCCGTGGGAAGTTTCAGGTCCCCTGCAGAACGAGTCCTCAACATTTGCGAGCAGAGCCGTATGTCCTGTGATCTTGATCGGGTGTGAGCTCACGCGAATGATTCTGCAATCTTCTGCCCGATGCATATTCAAGAATGAGAGTTTGCTTGCAGGCACGGATTGTGCAAATGTCGTGTTTCTGTGCCGCGCACGCGCGGAACGAATCCAGAACTATTCCACGAAACACGGCCAACATGTCTGCTGCTTTCTGGAGGTGTCACATGTCTCCTGCGTACATTTCAGACAAGTGTCCTTGTGTCCTGGTTCGGCGATTATAATGGTCAAGAAGATAGCCACTCCTTTGGACCTCTCCCAGTTCTGCACCGAAGGAGTAGCAAAGAGACCTGGTTGCGCCTCTGGCATCTGAAAGTTTTCCCCGTGACTCTTCCTGACTGGAAGGCTCGAGTGCTCAGAAGCTGTCACCAAAGAGTGCAGAACTTTCGTTGATTCGTTGAAGTGGCATAAGAACGCTTAACAGTTCGGAAGGGCTACCGAATCTTGAATGCAAACCGACTCCAAGAAACCGTCAAAACTCTTCAATTTGGTGGCTTCCAAGCCTCGGGCAAACCAGAATTCAAATGTTGCAGATGTGATCACGCCAGTGCTGTGTAGGCACTGCTGTTTCGGAAGACCGCCAAGACTGGAAAGACATGGAAAGACGATAGCTCGCTGATGAGCAAGATTCCATACGCAGCCCACACAAAGAAGAGCTTTCCAGCAATCACTCGTTGATCCTTTGGGAAAGGAGCTGTGCGCATGTTGCTTGACACACCTTCCCTGTCTCAGCAGGCTTTATGGCGGGGACCCACATCGCTGGAACTACACGTGAAGTCTGGACGGCTTGTTCCCCCAGCAGTGTGCCAGCTTTTAAGCTGCTACAGCCGCGGAGCCAAGAGCACCTCTTTTGGTTGAGAAATTCCTTGCGCGGAAAGCAGTCTGCCCTGCGGCAGCTTGTCACTTTGTCACACGTTGCTTCATTTAAATCCGGAAGTGCTTACCAGGGCAGACGTAGCAATGAATGCAATGCAGCTCAATGCATCATGCATCTCATGATCTGCTGCAAGTTTCTTTCGCAACCGCGTGAATCCACTGGTCGATCTTTACTTTCTGGTGTGCAGAATGCAGAAAGCCACATATGCCAGTGTGCTCTTCGATGCGTGCTACGAATGCTGCATGCAAAAACCATCTAAGCCCCATCATCCCCATCTGTGAACAACCCGACTCAAGTTGACGGGCTCTCAGAGCCTGGAGGTCCGTCGAGTGACCAGGTCTTGGCAAGCCACATTTCCGGCAGAAGTGGGAGTCCGACCTACCAAAAGGAGGCAATGGCTGCCAAAACTTACATTTTGTCACCAACACACCATTGGCACCAGCCAAGCGGCATGTAGACATTTCCACAGTTGGCGCAGGAAATGGTTTCGAGTGACCGTGAAGTTCTCCCGGTGCTTATCCCCGACAAGTCCTGGCAGACATCTTGCTCGAAGCATGCTCAAAGCAAAAACCTACCCCGTCTCGACTTCCGGCATCGTGTCCCGACAGCTCTTCTGAGACTCTAGGCCATGCGACGTCAGTGGCTCAACTTGAGATGCACCAAGAACTGAAAGCGGACTCTCCGCTCTAGAAGACCCGCCTGTGTCTGAACTTGCGTTTGAAGAGCTGCCACCTTAGCATGACCAAACGGTGGTTTGCGAAGTCGAACAGAGTAGATTGCTGGGGTCAAAAAACCACCAAACCTAACAAACTCTCCACCAAACTCTCCCACAAGGATTGCAACCAAAAACTCTACCAGACCCGCCCAAAGAAAAATCACAATCACCAAGACAACACCAAAAACCAAGACATTTAGTTCGGGTAAACAAAATGTGCGTGCACATTGATTCAGTTCGGTGAAGGCAACGCTGGTTGTGCCAGTCACTTCGCTGTAGGATATGCCTGCGCATATTGGTCCCGGGCTCTTATAATTCTTCGAGAATACCCTGTTTCAGCCCGGGTCTGTGTACGTCCCTTTTCCTCTGGGTCAACAATACTGTTACCGCTGGTGGACGCGAAGAACCCCATGAAAATGTACTAAGTTCGTGCACTAGTTTACAAACTAGTGCATTTAACACGGGTTTTGTGGTGTTCAGCCCGGTTTATTGCTATGAAGTGAGTGAAACGAACGAGTGAAAAGAAAAAGACTTTGTCCGCGCCCCAAGAAGAATAGAAAGTTAGGGCGCATGAATAAGATTACTATATTCACTCGCAGGCACACAGTAAAGATCAATAATAAGCCCGCGAACTACACTTCTTTTCACCCGCGCGTGCAAAGACCTGTTTTGCGCGGTTAACGTGAAATAAAATAGTGTAAAAAGTGCCTCAAAAGTATTCTTTGTGCACCCTATTATCTTCTTTCTTTCGCGAATGCACAGATCACACGTCCATTTCATTCACTTGCATCTGCTGAGATGAGCTGAAAGAAGATCATTGTGTTTAAGGTGCGCATGAAAAGAGAATACAAAGAGAGCCCCCAAAAGCCCGTAAATGACATGAAAAGCGCGTGTCATTGCATTCCTTGCTTTTTGATATAAGCAATGAGCTTTATTAATGTAGCACGTGTGAAAGGGACACGCATGAATACAATAATGGCATGCTTGCCAACAGGTGATGGTATGTGAGTCACTTAGCCATGGCACTAAGGGTGGTGCTGGGGAAAACCCCGAAAAGCCTAAACCCCTAAATCCCAAACCCTAAGCCCTCTACGCCCTTTGTATGTGTAGTTGCGTGTGGATTTGCGTTTGCCTGTCTGTTTGCATTGTATTTGGACTTGCATTTATACGCGTGTCTGTCTGTCTGTCTGTCTGTCTGTCTGTCTGTCTGTCTGTCTGTCTCTCTGTCTGTCTCTCTGTCTGTCTCTCTGTCTGTCTCTCCGTCTGTCTCTCTGTCTGTCTCTCTGTCTCTCTGTCTGTCTCTCTGTCTGTCTCTCTGTCTGTCTCTCTGTCTGTCTCTCTGTCTGTCTCTCTGTCTGTCTCTCTGTCTGTCTCTCTGTCTGTCTCTCTGTCTGTCTCTCTGTCTGTCTCTCTGTCTGTCTCTCTGTCTGTCTCTCTGTCTGTCTGTCTGTCTCTCTGTCTGTCTCTCTGTCTGTCTCTCTGTCTGTCTCTCTGTCTGTCTCTCTGTCTGTCTCTCTGTCTGTCTCTGTGTGTGTGTCTGTCTCTGTGTGTGTGTGTGTCTGTCTCTGTGTGTGTGTGTGTCTGTCTGTGTGTGTGTGTGTGTCTGTCTCTGTGTGTGTGTGTGTGTCTGTCTCTGTGTGTGTGTGTGTGTCTGTCTCTGTGTGTGTGTGTGTGTGTGTCTGTCTCTGTGTGTGTGTGTGTCTGTCTCTGTGTGTGTGTGTGTGTGTGTCTGTCTCTGTGTGTGTGTGTGTCTGTCTCTGTGTGTGTGTGTGTGTCTGTCTCTGTGTGTGTGTGTGTGTGTCTGTCTCTGTGTGTGTGTGTGTCTGTCTCTGTGTGTGTGTGTGTGTCTGTCTCTGTGTCTGTGTGTGTCTGTCTGTGTGTGTGTGTGTGTCTGTCTCTGTGTGTGTGTGTGTGTCTGTCTCTGTCTCTGTCTCTGTCTCTGTCTCTGTCTCTGTCTCTGTCTCTGTCTCTGTCTCTGTCTCTGTCTCTGTCTCTGTCTCTGTCTCTGTCTCTGTCTCTGTCTCTGTCCTCTTGCTCTGTTCTCTGTCTCTGTCGCTGTCTCTGTCTCTGTCTCTGTCTCTGTCTCTGTCTCTGTCTCTTCCTGTCTCTGTCTCTGTCTCTGTCTCGTCTCTGT